AATCGTAATACACAAACATTATCTGTCTTTTATTACATTACCAGACATTGCAGACATAACAACACCAGCAAGAACACCAGATGTGGATCTAGATAGAGTCCCCTCCCCCTCACTCTTACACCAAAAGAAAAAAAAAACAATAAATAGATCACATAACAATTCAAATAACTATGGAAAGATAACATCCTGTAAGGGTTATTAATTGTACATCAATAACGATATAATGAATTAATACAAAATGTGTCCAGCTTTTGGCAGCAATTCGACATAAAAAATAAAAAAAATAAACTGAGGGGCCGACCTCCCCCCCCCCGAAAAATTCCTGGACTCGCCCTTGAATACTGTAGTCACTTTCAAAATCTTGAGCTAACTTGTAACTTGACTGTGCCTGGTTACGCAGCTTTTATTTACTTGAAGAGCAACTCCAATGGTGGAAGAAAATAAGAAATCTAGCTGCAGTATGTTTACGTGGATCCAATTATAGATGCCTATGCCACATAAACCCAGATTCAGCAATATTTTGGGTTTTAAAAAACTCACTTTTGAGACCCGTTTCTGCTGAGTGCTATGGCTAGCTTTCATGAAAAGGAGCGTATGGTCATCGCTTCATTTACATGTCATGAATACGGCTTTTCCAGGATTTTGTCGATGTAGCACCATGGAAACGGTTCTCCAGCTGGTGCATGTACGCACTGAGCGGGTGCGGTCACGTGTGTAGTTACAGTTATACACTGTCCCAAGCGCAAGGCGCAGAGCCATACCGCTGTGATCCCATCGTGCCCCCAGAGTGCCAACGGGATCCCAATCGGGCTGGCGATGGGGCCACCGCTGGTGAACAAGGTGGTGAAGGGTACCAAGATCATTTGATAAATACAGCTTGGTAAGTTCAGAGTGAAGGACAGATGTGTTCGATGTTTTTTATATTATTATTTAATTCTGAAAAACAGTGTCAGGCTAGGCTGGCAGCTCAGGCATGCAGGCCTTTGTACAAAACATATCCACAAAGCCAGGTCCTGGGAGGTCATGATGTTTTTCATTTCCAAGGTAGTACATCATCAGAAAAGTATTTCTGTGTGGCACACAAAAAATGTAAAAATGTGGAAAGTTATTGAAAAACCAGCAGAATTGGTCCATATGTTTATCACATTAGTACTATGTATTCAGAAGTCACAGTGCCACTTTACATGTGTAACTTATTACTTAGATACCACGTGAGGATATTAAACTATATTCCCCATTTTCACCTCCATTGGGGTTGCTCTTTAATCACTATTGGGTCAAACATAAAGTCGCAAAAAACCACCATTGGGCCACCTCTCCCATGAATGTTGGTTGAGTGTTTTGAGGCGTTTGGCTGCAGTTACTTGCAGTTGGATGATTCGGTTAAAAAGAAAAATCACCCAAACTACTTGTTCTGGGATATCAAAAGTTATGTTTTGTGAAATAACACTGGGGGAAGTTGACCAAGTATGGTGAATTTTGAAGGATTTACATGTAGTGTGGGTGGATCGATGGTGGACAGTGTCATATATAAATGTGACTTTCTCTGTGTATAAATGTACATACATGTACATCAAAGATAAAGTCTTTACAGTGAGTCATGGAAGAAGTGTGCTTCATGCTACTGTACACCTCTTAAACAGTGGAGTTCTGATTTGTCAACCAAAATTGAGTCTTTTTATTAGTAAGCTATGTTTTTTGACAATTTTGAGAAGATTGCACATGTGGCTTGGCCATAAGATCTTGGCTCCTTCAGAGTAATGGGAGATTTTAAGACACACGGTGGCAGCATCAGATGAACTGGTCCTTTTTGTCAGTTCCGGGCATGCACACTTAGTTTTGAGCATGCACCGTTCTGAGCACGTGCACAACTGTGGAAAAGGACTGGTTTGTCTGCTGCCACCAAGTGTCTCAAAGTCCCCCATTGAATCCATGTTGTCTGCAACTTTTATTGTCTTCTAAAGCATGCTTCAAAACCATCTTGAACTAGTGGAAGAGCCACAACCAGGGTAGCAGAGTCCACTGCCAGGGGACCCTGTCAACCATTATCCATGTTCATACGCCACAAAAATGTGCCTTTGTCTCACTGATAGAGACCCAAGTGTAAATACAGTAACAAGTTACTTATCGAGCAGTGTAGTCAGGATTCTTTCACTGTGGGAAGGACAAGTATGGGATCTGAATTTTAATGGACAGGGATGAGATTTCTCAGTTTTTTTAACTGATATCAGATTTTGTTATTTGGGATTTCAGCTTTTTTTCCTCACTGGCTGTGTACAAAAATATAGGAGATTATCACAGTTCAGCTTCTTATGCCCTTTTTGGGCTGCTTTTAGCTATTTTTATCATTATTCAATCTCATCCCTGAATGGAGGGATGCCAACGTATCAGTTTTTCCAAGCATTTCTAGTATTGTTTTGTTTTTCAAGTTTCTCTTGGTAGAGGTTGTATAAGGTGCTGGTACATCCGTCCCACACACCAGAAATTGTCTTTTCAGTGCCGTTCAGATGATTGAATTATTCATCGTAGCTTTGACCTCTATGTACCAGCAGATTTGGGCTTCAATAGCTCTCCTTACTTTCTCAGTGCCAAAAGCAATGACGCAGTTTATGATTGCCACTCGACCCCTTGTCTCATCAACACTTACCTCACTATGGAAACACTGTTCTGTTCATGATCTTTTGTGGATGGAGATGTAGATGTGTTGTACATACCAGCACAAGTTAAGTCTGTCAAAATGGATCAAGACCATTACTGACTTTGGAATTAAACCTCAAATCTGGAGTGCTGTGAACTGCTGCAGTTAATCAGTTGTTGGAGATTGGTTGTGTCAGCTACGTTGCGTGTTGTTGAACTGGAAGGACCACCATGGGATCAGACATATCAGCGGAGTGCAGTGAATACTGGAACATCAGCGAGGCTGAAGCACCCCAATGGCTTTATAGCCCACTATTTGTCAATTTTATTACCATCGGTGAACCGTTTGCTTTGTGCGTTGGTGCAGGCGCCAATGTGACTTTTCTCTTTGTCTTGTTCCGCGTACCAGCCATGTGGACAACAACGAACGTCTTCCTGATAAACGTAGCTCTAGCCGACATGCTTTTCCTCAGCCTACATGCCGCCAGCAATCTGTGGAGTTACGCAGTTTCTCCTTCAGTATCTTCATATCCATTTGAAAATTCGGCTAGTTGCTCCATCCTGTTCATTGTGCTTGAAACTGGATACTTTGCATCCGTTGCATTGGTTACTATGGTGACATATGAGAAATACCTTGCTCTTTGCTATCCCATGGAGCATCTCAAAATCCGTGGGTCGCGCCGAGTCACTAAAATTGTCCTAACTTGTTGGCTGGTTGGCTTGGCGTTTGCATGTATCATAGTACCTGAAGTAGCGCTAACCTACAAGTGGTGCGTGGAGTGGCCCAACAAAGATGAGTATCAAGATTTGCCGTCAACAGTGGTGGACTGCATTCCTGTCAAGCCCAATGTAATATTCTACAATACGCTGCTTCGAAGTGGCCCCTGGTCCTTCGTCATGATTTGTAACATTTATATGTGTGTCAAACTCGTACAGACTTTGGTCAAGCAGACACCAACTGTCAGCGGAGGGGTCAGCGGCAGAGGTCAGAGAGCCCAACAAAGAAAGAGACAAGTGGCGGTCATGATCATTGTCAACAGTTTGGTGTTCTTCCTGTGCCAAGCCCCTTTTCACGCCCTTAAAATCATCGAGTGGATCTACCTGATAGCGGATATGCCCAGTCCTATTTACAGCGCCATGCAAGATAACGGGTACTGGTTGGGAAACTTCCCACACCTGATCAACACCATCATTAATCCGTTCATCTACGGCGCGTTGAGTGCACAGTACCGCGCTGCATTTCTTGAGGCCTTTCGCTGCAGGCACTGACCCAGGAAGCAGCTTAGCATGCTACCTCCTCCTGTGTGCGCAAGAGAAAACCTGAGCCAGGGAGAGGACCAAATATGACACAACCGGGCACTTGGACTTTATTAGACTTGTTGCCGTGATCAGCATGTTTATTGAGGGTTTAGTTATGTGGTGACCGTCGCTCAGATCTATTCTATTAATCCTTCATCCAAAACACCCAGGAGAGACACGTCTTTGTATAACTTTTCATAGGGTATAGCTTGCCTGCATCAAATGGAGCTGAATTTTATGTGAATGTTAACAGGGCAACAAGCAGAAACAAATGCCCGACAGTTGTTGACTCTTGTTAGACTTGAAGCTTTATCAATACCCGTCTCATTTCAGATTAACAAATGGCCACCGGACCAAAAGAAAAATGCAGAGATGAAACTCAGTGAGCAAAAGACTCAGGATAACCTTTGTTGCTTCTAGCAAAAACAGTAACGCTTCATTAGAAATGACTCTGACCCTACTGAAGTTCATCTTGGCTGTGAGGAATCACGAGCTGGAAAAGCTGCGTTAACACCTTTCAAGTACACATGCCTTCCTATGCAAATTCACTGTATCCCCTTTCACTGTACAGCTATGCGACATTATGTTATCATTCATTTAATTCTTAGACAACTTTTGCTTGCTAGAAATCGTAATGCAGGCCAAGAAGTTTATCAACACCTGATGGGCCAGAACACGTTCTTCCTTTTTGAAAAAATTTTCCAGGTTTAAATATCATTGTTTATTGCCCTGTTGACTAGTCTGTCAACATTTAGTATGTAATCTATGTCCAAGAGGAAATGATTGCATGTTTTTTTGAAATGTGTAGAATATATCCTTTATTCAGGCCCCATAGACGGTTATCGTAGGCCTGGATTCTGCTGTACTACTGGTACTGTTGATGTTTCTGTGGAATTTTCAATTTTGTTTGTGCATTATAATAGCTTATTCATTTGCTTCAAGCATTGCCATTTGACGCCATGAAGGGTATCTCTGGTGATTTGTACTAATACACTGATGTTTCAATATTCATATCCAAGCCTTTTAATAAATTATTACAGTCATGCTGCTTTGGTCGTCAGTTTGTATTCCATCGTAAGTCCAAATCACCTGATGAATGAAATTTAATTGTGGTTGTTACTCCAGGCCTCGTCCAATCAGTTTCAAGCACGCAGCACAGTCTTGCATTTCACTGCTCATTAGAATGGAATTATCACATTTGCAAACGTACCTGTGCGATTCAGTTTGGAAAGTAGAGCAGATGAAAAGTGTAGCTTTGCATCATTATCTGATTCTCTTCTCACCATGGACAAGTCAAAAGACACATGGTTAGAAGATTGGAACTGATGACATGAATTTTAGGAGGCTTTTCTGAGACAGCTTTATTTCTGATCTGGCCAATTGTGCATTTCACGGTGTAGAGCCTACGGTAAGCTATAGCAAAGACGCAGTGTTTCTGAAAACCCATTGATCAACAAGTAGTGGCATACAGTGAATGCAGAAAGGAAATAAAACTGGGATTCAGTGAAGGGATTTCTTTGCCTGGGCAGTTGTCCAACACCCAGCTTCGGCTCCATCTCACGCTCCAACTGTTTTTGTTACTACCTGACTTAGAAGCTGTTAGCACAATAATTAGTCTAATAATGCCACAAAACATCAAATAAGATGCAAGAGGACCAAAAAGTACAGTAATCCAATTTAATTTAAATGCTTCAGGCCCACAATCGAGGATTGGTTTTGAGACGGAGACAAAGTTGAGTATTGGAAAACGGCCCTGGTACAAAACTCAAACTGTATCTGAAACTGCTGTGATATCTGGCGCATTTACTTCACTGGTGGAAGTGGTATCTGGCTCGTCCATTCAGTCAGAAAACAGTTATCCTTGTCATTGAGAACTTGGAAAAAATTATGCCTCTTGCAGCTGCAAACTGGTGAGGTGTATTTGTGTATCATTTTCATTGCCAGGGTTGCTGTTGTTTATCAGGGAACTCTAATCTTTATTTCCCAACATGGGTGATGAGGACATCATGCCTGAGGAATGCGATAAGTACTGGAACATCAGTGAGGAGAACGTTTCCAAGTGGCTTTTTACCCAAGGCGACGGAGTCTTTATCACCATCATCATACCAATCATTTGTGGTTTTGGTGTCATCACCAACTTGGGTTTCCTGTGCGTTGTGTTCTGTGTGCCCAAGATGAGATCTGGCATTTATGTCTACCTGTCACAGTTGGCAGTGGCTGACTCACTATACCTTAGTCTAACCTCGGCATACTTCATTTGGTCATATGCAGCATCTCCGGTATTTCACCACTTCCCATTCTCAAACTCGGGTGGCTGCATGAGTTTTTTTACCGTGCGTTTCACCTCCATTGTTGCCTCTGTGGCACTGATAACTATGGCCTTGTACGATCTGTACCTCACCCTTTGCCACCCTTTGAAACATCGTGTAGTGCACAGTTGGTGTCGAACCTGCAGGATTACTGTAGGCTGCTGGCTGGTGGGACTCCTTGGCGGTGTGTCATTGGCACTTGATTCCTCAACTGCTCAAAAGAATTGTCTGCAGTGGCCTCACGATGACATGTATCAAGAATTACCTACAGTGGTCATAGCCTGTACTCCAGCCCATCCAAATGTTGTGTATTATTCTGGACTTCTCTTCACTGTGCCTTGGCTATTTGTTATTTTTGCAGTTGTGTACATGTGCATCCGCATCAGTCGTGCACTACGTGAACGCAAGGCTATCAATAAAAGGAGACAAGTGTTACAAAATCAACGTCAAATGACGAGAATGATTGTCAGCAACATAGCCATCTGCATCATGTGCCAGATCCCAGCACTGATCAGAAATGTTTCTGTGTTCGTTGCTTCGCTCACTGGGGTCCCCAAACCAGGAGCGGCATGGAGAGGCTCCCTTTGGTTGAGCGTTGTTTTTCAGCTGCTAAACAGTGCAGTAAACCCCCTGCTCTACGGTGCCATCAATGCACAGTGCCGGGCTGCCTTCTTGCGAGCGCTTTCCTGCAGGAAGAGGAAACCTGAAGACAAGGATGCAGATGACAGCAAAGTCAAGATTGAAAGTGCATGTAATACTCTACCAGTGCATCAAATCAATCAAGACACAAATATGACTTGGCTTTGAATTCATCAGTAGAAAAACAGGCATGATGCTGCAGAGGTCTGTAGGGTTTCATCACTCTCCCCCCCTGGCTCCTCCCACAAGAAAAAGGTATTCTAAGAATAGTTGCAGTTTATTAGTGATTTCTATAACGATTGCCATTTTCTGACGATCAAAACATTTTCGAATGAACAGTTTTAAAATAGTTTCTGATGCCTCACCCTAATTTTAAAGAACCTCCTATGCAGTCAATTGCTTTTTAATCTGTCATCAATTTTTGGAATACCTTCTTCAGTTCCACCAAGACCCTCGACAATCAAATCTTTTTAGAGCTCCAATCAATTGCCCTGATGTAAATTTAGGAACAGACCATGTGCACTTGGCATACACCAATTTGTAGTTTAACTGTTTATAGGTGAGAAATTTGACTAGTTTGTGTTTACATCAGCTATGGCATGAACTGGCTATTCTTGGTGAATTCTGTCTTTTGGTTTAACACTGCTTCAAGCATTTGGCCAGGTGATTATCAATGGGTCGTATGAATAAAAAGTAGCATTTGCTTTTACTACCACTCTTGAAGCATTTACTCATGTTTGTATAAATAATAATGAAGCAAAGGCTTTCACTTTAGTGCAGTTGCTATTAAGTAAAAGTATTTACTTTTTACTCTTTAAGCTTGTGCTTGACAATAAGCAGTTGCTTCATTTTGTATGAATTAAATTGAGTAAGTTCTACAGAATTGGAGTATTCACTTGACATTTTTCAAGACTGGGTCAGGGCAAGCTTGAAAACGAGGAACATTTACTACTGTTCAAAATGGCAGCGTTCATGAATGTCATTCGACAGGAAAAGCTGTATGCCTTTAGGAGGGAATCTCAAGAAACCAGATGCAGGCGGCTGTAGTGATTTGAGAGTGGCAGAGCAATTTTCGTCATCAAGGTTTTTGCGATCAAAATTACTGCCATCGTGCTTATCTGCCACGCTAAGGTCTCAAGATACAGCACCGTGCTGCAACGAAAACCCTATTGTACAAAACCATTCGGCTGTGCAGTCAGCCACAAGCATAAAGCATTTGCTAATATTTACATTAGTAGATCCTGAATAGTAAGGGAAACATTTAATTCCTACAAATTCAAGCATTTGCATATTCTTAATACTTTTACTTCTCAGTAAATGCTTTTGCTGTTTGCTTGAACTTCATAGCATTTGCTAGTTTTAATTCATACAACCCAATAAAGACTTGACTCCCAGTACACAGAATGCTGTCCTGTTTTAACTCCTACCTCTCTGTGCAGAGCAAGAATATGAAAAGGTTTGGTGTTGGTTCCACGCACTCACTCTTGGCTGTGCTGAGGCAGCACTGGTGTTATCTCCATCCATGCTGTTTTCTCCTAGCTTCTACTTGTAATTTCAACCTTCATAGCTGTATGGGGTTCCAAACTGATTACAGTAGACTGGTCCATGTAGCCATTTTTTGGTATCTTTCATGTAGGGTGCAGACCACTCATTCAAGTGAGAATTTTTGACCAGCTCATAAGCATTAAAACTGCCCCC